GTACTTTCATTTTACCCTTCTGACTATAGAAAGTTTTAACCAAACCAGACTACTGCCAGGAAGCAAAGTGAGTAAAATTGTAGTCCTAGGGAATACTGGATTCTATTGCTGAGTAAAACAAATGTCTTCCTTTCAATTAAACCCTTAGATAAAATTATTTCTTTACATAATCAACTGTGTGGCCACTGATTAGACTTGATAGGACAATTATAGCCTAAAATGTATATTTCATTGTGGATAAACAGTGTATCTATTTATTTTCCTCTAGTGTTTTCTCTGCTACTATTGAAGTGAGAATGGCAAGAGCAGATTGTGAAAGGTCTTAATTACACAACAAACTGAATGTGAATCTTTAAACAAAGACATAAATTTTAAATATGAATTGGTTCAAGAACATTTGATGCCCACAAAAAATGATTACCATTCCACAACTTCACTTTCATAATTGTTAGTTGCACAAGATAATTCTAAAAGCATAAACCCTGTCTAATGGGAAGAAAAATATATTCCCATTCCAGTTCTGATCATAAGTACCTGGTGAAGTCATTTAGCCTCTCCTTGTTGCAGTTTTCCGCTTTGTGGTACAATTATATCCATTTAACTTGAAAGATTCTTGTGAAAACTGTAAGACAGTAGGTCTTACAACTAACAGATCAATATAAACCAACTGTAGACCTAGAAATCTGAAAAAACACAGACCTTGTGCTGTAAGTTGTAATCATTACTTTTAAACTTTATTTAAAAACTGATATTGAAGATATGCTATAACAATTAACTTTAAAGGTATGAATCAGCATGGTAATCTAGAAACATCTGCTAGAACATTTTATGCTACCATTTTCTTTCTCCATCTTTAATGTTAATTATAATTTTCCAGGTTTTTTACTAGAAAAAATTATTTTAATATACAAATGTAAGGGAATTTATTTCTTAATTATTTCTTAATTTAATTATAAATATAATTTTGAACTCTGCCATTTTAGTAGTTGTAATAAATTATATTTTAATCTTGACATTTTTATTTTATGTTTAAAAAGTGTTTGGATATTTGTATTGCCAGTGCCATTAACAGTGAAACATAAAATTTCAGTATAATCCTAATATTTCTAAACATATTATGACAGAATTGCTTAATCTTAAAAGCAGTGTTTCTCTTATTATTGTTCAAATGTATTTAATATTTACTGATAGAATTCAAACACTTTTATGATATTTCTTCTTGTTATCACATTTATATAAAACTCAAGGTTGAAATATTCACCATTGCTTAAATGCACCAAGACGCTACTTACTGAAAAAAAGAGCTACAAAGGGGAGGGAGAGCATTAGAACAAATACCTAATGCATGCAGGGCTTAAAACCTAGATGACGGGTTGATAGGTGCAGCAAACCACCATGGCACATGTATACCTAGGTAACAGACTTGCATGTTCTGCTCATGTATCGCAGAACTTAAAAAAAAAAAAAAAAGACAAAAGAAAAAGAGCTACAAAAGTGTAGCAAAAACAAATCTCAAACATGGACACTCATTATTAATATATCTGAATAACCTAACAACTTCTGTATAACTAACACATAATTTTTTTTGCACAGAATTCCCCTTAGTATAATAATTCAGATTCTGTGCATGTTCCTAAAGACCAAGACACCTGAAACTACGAACATAAAGGAGTTGCTTGAACAGTGGTACCATGTACTTCTGTAGGACAATCCAAAAAATTTAGTTCCTAGCCATCTGTCAGAATACTGACAGAAAGCCCAAAATAAAATTCCTCGAACTGTTTTTCTTCTAAACAATGTACTTAATTACTTAAACACATAAACATCCTCAACCAGTTAAAAATAGCAGCCAAAAAAAAAAAAGACTGGTTCCAGAACCTTAGGACCTAAATGCAAAATTGTCACTGTTTGTCATTTAGGTGCTAATGTCTGCACGTTCATATCCTTATTGAATAGGCCTAACCATTTAGTACAGAATCAAGCACCAAATTTACCCATATATTTAAATGTGCTGGAATTACATTTCATTTTTATAGGGAATTAGATATAACATCTGATTCCTTGACTTGAATTGCTTCTAGGTTGGGAATCAAAAACTCAAACTTTAATATAGCCCAGATTATGACATTCGAGTGTGAAATGGGCATATGGTAAGAGTGATAAATTTGAAAGCACAGGCTAACTTCAAAGACACAGCAGATATTCAATACCAGTCAACTATTTTCATGCAAGTGTGTGGGCCTACGTTCTAGATTTTCTAACTTCTGGGGAAAAGTTCTGGATTTTAATATGTAATCTATTTTTATATATTAATTTATTTTTAATTTAAAAAATTTTATTGATACATATTAGTTGTACATGTTTGTGGGTAGAGATGATATTTTGATACCTGCACATAATGTATAATGATCAAGTTAGGGTCATTGCAGTATCCATCACCTCAAACATTTATCTTTTCTTTGTGTTGAGAACACCTAATTCTATACTTTAAAAGACCCATGTGATCTAAACAAAAACTGCCAAATTACTGATGACCCAAAGAAGAACTGTGAGGAATAGTTCTGGAGTCTTAAACTCTAGATACCAGAACAGTTGACATTATTAAATATCCCTGATTTACCATTTTGAAATTGAAAAAAACCTCTTGATTATAGTGTATAAATACTTGATTATTTTTATATTATATACATTCTTCATTTACGTTAAGTTTACCTCCCCAGAGGAAGTAGTACTGTAAGAATACTGCAAACACTATGATAAAAATAACAGAGCACTTTCAAGTAAGGTTATTTTGACCTTCAGTTTGTTTTCAGGTACCTAGTAAAGAATTGTGGCCAATATATATCCTAAAAAAATATAGAGTATTACCATGTATATTTTAAACTAGATAATATCAAGGACAATTTCCACTTAATATCTTATCTTTACTCAGTACAGACAGCCTTATCAATTAACAGTTTAAGTAAAAAGATGCTCTAGTATAAATTAGACAATAAATATCATTTACACTAATGTGTTACATAGGGTATTTGGGAACAAAAAACAAAAATTTTCTCACAAAGAGCTTACAACTGTAATCTATAATTAAAAGTTGGCCACCAAGGACAGAATGATACAGTAAGTTATATCGAACAAAAATAGATTTTAAAAATTGTGTACATACACATCTCTACATAAATAGATCGAGGTGTATTACAATGAAGATCAACAGAGAAATAAAAAATTATATATTTACATATGCATATTAATAGAGTGATTAATTATATAACTCAGACTAGCAGAGATTTTGCTTCCACACTGAAGCTTTCCCTCAACCTAATTTCTGACTTTACATGGCTTCCTTTTTCTCTCTGCTCCTGGAAATATGTGAAGAGGGTCCTCCTAGCTTAAGGACATAACCTCAGACTTGTTGGTCCTTCACTAATTTTAATTACTACCTTTTACAACAAAGTTTATAAAAAATCAGATTTTTGTTTTCTCCCTGAATTTTTGTTAGTGGTGAAAGATCTCTGACATGTGATTTGCAGCTGAGGAATGTGGCTCCCAGCCAGAATCTTATGTGGGATCTTTCTGGCCGGAGCATAGGCAGTTACAAAAGCTCTGCCTGGCACACCTCATCACATTGTATTTGGTGGGAGAAAGGTGCCCTCATCACATTGTATTTGGTGCACAGTTTGGAGGAATTGAATCTAGTACTCAGGCCCCCTGGCCAGCCATGCTCTTGTGCATATCTACATTTATAGCCCAGGCAACTCCACTCAGGGGCCTCCTTTTAGAGGGACTTAGGTGCCTCTCCTGAGACCACCTTATTCAAGGGAGTTGGGACCACTTTTCTCCACTATGTCTCAGTATTCAGTACTTTTCTACTGCTAGCTATTCCCTTCTCCCTCCCACTGTCTCTTGTCCAAAGAAAAACCCTTAGGAACCTTTTGTGCAGAAGTCCCTAAGTAATGAAACAAAGGCTCACTCCTGCAGTGATACTTCTGACCCTTGCTCAATGCCATTCCGTGGGGAAAATGGAGCATTGGTAGAGCAGGCACCTTCTCTCTGGCCTCTTGCTTATACTATAGCAGTAAATGAATACAGACTTAATTATTACTTCCATTTTGGCTGCTGTTTAATTGGCCGCTGTGACATCTGGCAGCTCAGCTCTCTCCAGCTCAGCTCTTAACAGTAGCTTTCCATGCTGTAATGGAAATAGCCCCTAAAAGTCATGCACATACTGATGTTCAGACCTACTACACTGCTTGCTTGTTATTTATTATCTCTCTGATTTATTTGAGATGCTTGACAATCACCTCTTCCCATCCCCCTAAAAGTCTTACCATTTGGAGCTCCTCATGACTATAGAAAGGGCATGATGATTAGAATCAGACTGTTTTGAATTTTGAATCTGCTTTCTACCTCATATAAGAATAAGTCACAAAGAATCTGTGGACCTTAATTCCCGTTGTAAGTCACAAAGAATCTGTGGAGCTTAATTCCCACGTGTTTATTGTAATAAAGACATAATATTACTACTACTGATACTTCAAAGAATGTTTTGAGGATTAAATATAAAATGTATGTTGTGAGCTCTTTTGAAAATTCTACAAAACCACAATTTTATTTGGAAGAGTTTACTCCTAGTTCTGTGACTGTTCTCTCATTACTATCCTTCCTTTTCCCATTTCATTACAGAAGCCCTCTCCAAAATAAATCTTCAGGCTTTCTTCATTTTTCTCTCCATTACCTTCCTCTTAGGTCATGATGAATGCAATATTCTATTTAAAATATCTAAAAATGTAATATTTCAGTAAAAAAATCAAATTAAGTAATGCAGAATCTAAGGACTATCACATAGGAAAATCAACTCTATGTTTTAATTTTAGAAAAGTTATTGTGAAATGATCTTATCATCTTAACAAAACACCATTTTACAAATAAATTTCAAGTATACTTTTTCCTTTCCTCCATGCCTTTCCTCTTAGGAGATTTCTCTTTCTGTCATTCCTTTACAGCTGCTGCACGATATGTCTGATCATGAGCAACACGGGTTTCAGAGATGCTCATCCTCTTTCTGGCGTAGTAGTGGTGATTCATCTCCCTGTCTCAATATTTCTTCCATGTCTGTCACTCCTGTCAACTCACCTGATTCCAGACTATCACTGGGACTGTTAATACCACCACCTTCTAAATGTGGCTTTCCCAAGCCAGTCAGTGAGAGCAGCATCCCAAGACCGCATGTAATTTGCTAAGCAGATAATCCTTTTTATTATCCGATTTATTTTGTTTAAATTCTGCCAAAATGTGCTATTTATAAAGTTATCAAAAATTTAGATGTATCTTGAATAATGTGATGTGATCTGGAGGCTTTGTGTGCCATTTTTGTTTTCTTTGATTACCTGATACCAGAAAGTTTCAAGTAGAGGGTGGTGCCAGCGTAGAAATTTACAAAAATATAAAGTAATACATACTTCAAAGGATCTATCAGATATCACTATTGGGAAATTAGATCATTGGTAAAAGCAATTTCAGCAGAGTTCAGTGCAAAAAGAGCAAATCTAGATTGATAAGAGTTAAAGATAGAATGAAGTAAATCTTAGGACAGAAAGTGTAGTATCTCTTTCAAGGAGCTTAGCCTTAAAGGAAAAAGAAAAAGAAAATAGAAGCTGGGAGATTAAAGAGGGACAAAGTAAATAAATTTTTGGTTGGTTTGTTTTGCTTTTAATGACAGCCAAGATTTTAGAATTTTTGTATCGTGAAAAAGAGTAGAGATATAGAAGTGAGAGGGGATACAGGAATGGGATAATTAGGGGAATGGTATTGCTGAGTAACAGGAATAGGGTGAGGGGATACAATAAACAAATTGTTAAAGAAAGGAGGATGACAGCAATTTTCCTGCATGAAAAATAATGTACTAACAATTATTTTAGCTGAATAGCAAACCCATCACTCTACACACAGTAAGCCTGATTTTTTCATCACCTGCGTTATCTGTGAATCAGAAAATTAAACGTATTCTGAGAATTCTAATTTTAATATGAACCACTCAAAGCAATCTCTGTCCAAGTTCTCACAGGAAAAGCAAATTTTTCATCACTATTCCCCCAAAATGGAAATTCTCTTTCTTTTATCCCTGATCAAGTGAGATGGTTTTCAAAGGAGATTACATGTATATACATATTGTTCCCTGTTTTACAAAGTGATGAATGTCTAATTTTGATATTACTTCTTGGCTACATTTTCATGAGGTTTTCATTTATCTTTCCCTATATGTATTCAGTCCTGACCCAGACTGTATCAGAAAACTCAATGATTTGGGCAGTACATTGGTGATTATTAATTTAGTTTTTATAAGATAGCTATTTATTACAGAAAACTTGATGAAATCTTTCAAGAATAAAATGTACTGCAATGAATATCAGTTGGTTGCCACTGTTGTTATAAATACAAACTAAAATATACTCTACTTTTGAGAATGCAAAAAATTGCATTTGAATGTTTATATTTAAGAAGGCAACTCACTTATGTCTAATTTTTCCTGTTTGAAATGTTATCTTATGCAGAGTATCTTACTGAAATCATATTTTTATATGAATAGTTTCTACTGTATCTAATTCTCTGTTATAAGTAGCAATCATTTCTATATATCCAAAAAATTCACTGTATCTTTTATATTCATCTGGAATAATATTGTTACCATTTTGCCATCATCTTTGAGAGCATTTTTGCAGAAATGTTCTACTGCTTTCTTCTCAATGAGCATTTATCGTAATTAGTGGAACCACATGAAATTGCAAATACTTAACTATTTTCAGTCTACAAAATGGCAAATTCTTATGATTCAACTGAATTTGCTGTTTACATATATTTTATATGCATGTGAAATATTTAGCATTACAATGTGTCTATATGAAATACTACCCTAATTCATTTATTTTCATTGCAGGCAGGCAGTATGACACCTCAGTCGCCCTCCACTGACATCTTTGATATGATTCCATTTTCTCCAATATCTCACCAGTCTTCAATGCCTACTCGCAATGGCACACAGCCACCTCCAGTACCTAGTAGATCTACTGAGATTAGTAAGCTTTCTCAACAAATCAATGTTTCTTGTTACAGTTGTGTACATTTTAAATATATAATTAAGACTTTGTGGGAAATTACATATCTTAACAACTTTACTTACAATTTCAATTATTGAAGTATTATTTTTATATATGTATAAATTTCCATTAATTCTATTTTACTTTATAATTCAGACTCACTACTAACGACATCTCTACTTGGAACTTTTACCCATTGTTTGAACAATTATGTTTTGGTGTATTACTTCATAATAGAAAATATTAATTATATATCATTGTTTTGGGTTATATTTTTAATATTTTACTTTATTAAAAACAACTGGTGGTAATTTTATTAATCATTTTTTACATGTTTAATAGAGCTAGTTAAAATATGTTTGTTCATAGGGCTTATGGACTTTTTTAGTTAAAAAATATATGAATTATATGAATGTTGTGATTTATTAACATTTTGTAAGGGTTCTTTCGTATCTAAAATGCTATAAATTCATTACTTTTCTGTTTTATCTTTTATATATCTGGAAGGAACATTAAAGTCTATTTTTGATTAATTAGAAAACACCTAACAGATGCTCATTTTCAATATTTTGGCTGTAATACATATCCATCTGTGCCTTGTGACAGAAACTGAAAGCATAATTCTCAATGGTTATGAATCAGTCACTATGTCTAAAAGGAAACTGAAAAAAAGAGGGTTTTACACATTCTGCTTGATTGCATTCTCTCTAGCTTATATTAAGTCATTGTGAATATAACTCTGAAGTTTTAGCTTAAGACTTAAGTACATGGCAGGGCCCATATTATATTCATTTCCCCTAAGGAACTTAAAATACATTGCTCATGTTAGGTATTCAATTTATTTTAGAGGACTAATTTGTAAATACAAGGTAATAATACTAGTGTATTAGTCAGTTTTCACACTGCTATAAAGTTGCTACCACAGACTGGGTAATTTATAAGCAAAAGAGTACAGTTCTGCATGGATGGAGATGCCTCAGGAAACTCAACGTCATGGCAGAAGATAAAGGAGAAGCAAGGTACATCGTATATGGCAGCAGAAGAGACTGTGTGCGCAGGAGAAATCGCCACTTTTAAACCATCAGATGTCGTCAGAACTCCCTCTCTATCATGAGAACAGTAGGGGGGAAACTTCCCACATGATCCAATCACCTCGCACCAGGCCCCTCCCTCAACATGTGTGGATTACAATTTGAGATGAGATTTGGGTGGGGACACAGACCCAAACCATATCATTCCACTCCTTGCCCCTCCCAAATTTCATGTCTTTTCACATTTCAAAACCAATCATACCTTTGCAACCATCTCTCAAAGGCTTAACTTATTCCAGCATTAACCCAAAAGTCCAAGTCCAAAGATTCATCTGAGGCAAGGCAAGTGTCTTCCACCTATGAGCCTGTAAAATAAAAAACAAGTTGGTTACTTGCAAAATACCATGAGGATACAGGCATTGGGTAAATATTTCCATTCCAAATTGGAGAAATTGGCAAAACGAAGGAGCCACAGGCCCCATGCAAGTTTGAAACCCAGTGGGGCAGTCATTAAATCTTAAAACTCCAAAATTATCTCATTTTACTCCATGTGTCACATCCAGGGCACGCTAATGCAAGGGATGGGACCCAAGACCTTGGGCAGCTCCACCTCTGTGACTTTGCAGGGTACAGCCCCCATGGCTGTTTTCACAGGCTGGCATTGAGTGCCAGGCACACAGTGCAAGCTGTTGGTGGATCTACCATTCTGGGGTCTGAAAGACGGTGGCCCTCTTCTCACAGCTCCACTAGACAGTGCCCTAGTGGGGACTCTGTGTGAAGGCTTTAACCCTACATTTCTCCTCTGCATTGCCCTAGTAGAGGTTCTCCATGAGGGCTCTGCTCCTGCCACAGACTTCTGCCTGAACATGCAGGCATTTCCATACATCCTCTGAAATCTAGGCAGAGGCTCCCAAAGCTCAACTCTTGTCTTCTGTGCACCTGCAGACCCAACACCACATGGAAGCCACCAAGGCTTAAGGTTTTTACCCCATAAAGCAGTGGCTTGAGCTGTATCTTGGCCCCTTTTAGCCACAGCTGGAGTGGCTGGGATGCAGGATACTGAGGCTGCACAGAGCAGCAGGGCCCTGGGCATGGCCCATGAAACAATTTTTTCCTCTTAGGCCTCTGGACCTTTGATGGGAGGGGCTGCTGCAGATGTCTGATATGTGCTGATGACATCTTCCCCATTGTCTTGGCTATTACCATTCAGCTCCTTTTTACTTATGCTCATTTCTGCGGCAGGCTTGAATTTCTCCTTAGAAAGTGGGTTTTCTTTTTCTACCACATAGTCAGGCTGCATATCTTCTAAACTTTTATGCTTTGCTTCCCTTTTAAACGTAAGTTCCAATTTCATATTATCTCTTTGTGAATGCATATGACCGTATGCTTTTAGAAAAAGCCAGGTCACATCTTGAATGCTTTGCTGCTTAGAAATTTCTCTGAAGAAAAGATCCTCTGAAAGCTAAATTTCAATTGATTGCCTGGGCAACACTGAACTGAAGAAAATAAATAACAGCAATAGTAATACTCATCAGTTATATATAAGGTAACAATAAATTCCCATTTTATTAGGATAGCCCTGGCTTATAGATTTTTACCCAGTGTAACTATTGAAAATGCTCCTTTTACTTTTTAAAAGTATCTGCATTTGGATGAAAAATTATATGTTCCCCTTATTTATACAATACCTGCAAGTACAAGGAGCTTGTAAAAATTTCACATTTATTAACTTATTTAGTACAAGAATCTGGAAAAAAAACATGAAGACTGGAAAAGTAAGACTCCTTCACAATGAGAATCACAGAGTGATTTTAGAGGATATGGCAGAAATCAAGTAGCATAAATATTATTTTTTACATGGCATTGAATTTAGAGAATTTAAAGTTCTCTGCAAAATGAAGGTATGAATATGTTATAAATACCCATTTTCATATATAATTTAATGTTTTTCCAATTAAGGATATATTTGAATTGATTCAGAGGAAAGAAATTCCTTAAGAATTTTTTATTTTAAAAATTCTGTAATAGGCCCAAATCTATCAATTACAAACATCAGTTTCAACTCTGATACTTCTTTAGTGATAAAAAAAGTAGTGCATACTTTAGAACATATGTACAGAAAGATTTTTTGACACTGCATCCCTGCTGCTTTTAAAAAAGAAATGTATTTCTAGGATAGGAGGCATTTTTAAAGAAACTATCTCATTGTGACTATCTAGAAAGGTGATATTTCATACTACATGAGACAATGTGTTTTAAAATTTTCTCTGGATAAAAGGGGAGATAAGAGTACATGAACTTTGAGTAGAGCTACTTACAAGTCTAATTAGTCCTACATATTGCTTAACTATTGTGTTGCAAGGCATCAATCAATGGAATTAGGGTAGCCTCAATGAGTAGCGCATTAATTTTAGCAAATTTAAATTGCTTCAATAAAATATAGGTGTTGTAACATATTAATTATCAGCTATTTGGTGAATTTGATATTAAGAAATCTTCATTAAAAACACAGAAAGCTCTCTAGATAATAATTCTGTATAATAAAACTTTTTAATATCATAAAATGGGTCTTTTCTTCCTTATTAATGTTTAACTTGTCTAAGCTCAGGAAAGCCCCACATACAGTGTAAGTGTGGATTAGTGGTTCATTTGATCATGTAAATATTCATTTATATAATCCTGCCTTTGAAATCTAACTCACTCCAGCTCACTTGTTATTTCATTTACTAAATTATTTCCTTCCTTTTAGAACGGGACCTGTTTGGAGCAGAACCTTTTGACCCATTTAACTGTGGAGCAGCAGATTTCCCTCCAGATATTCAATCAAAATTAGATGAGATGCAGGTGACTATTGTGACTGACTGGCCCATAAATGATTTATTTCATTTTGATATGGAACAAAGAGAATGTTATGTACCAAAACTATGGTTTCCTTTAATTATTTTCACTATAAAAACTCACCTAAAATAATTACTTTAAAATAATAATGTACAGTTAGTCCTAAAAATACTCCTACATATGCTAAGGATAAGGTCGTTGGTTTTTTTAATGGTTCAATTTACAATGGCAATAAGATGGTTCATTTTTTTTTTTTTAAATACAAAATGGCATGGATTCTAATGGTTCATTGTTTTCAAATCTAGAGTTAAAAAGTCATTGCATTAGATTTATAAGATTTGATCTCAGTCTTAACAATTACGAATTTGAAAATTGTAAATGGGCAGATGAGGGAAAATCTTTGTAAGATTGAAATTATTCTCTCTGAAAAGAAGCATTGTAGCTGTAGTTCATAACTTTTGGGCTTTTATTTAAAAAGCAGACACCCAGTGACAACTTCTTTAGGAATGTAGTTCAGTTGGATTTTCATTTCTCTCTCTTCCTTTTACTTTTTTGTTCTAAATTGGTCTGCAGTTTACAGAAATTGGTTTTAAATGCTTTGCACTATGGGCCATGATTTAAAAATAGTCTTATAAACCCCAGAATAAAGTCTTCTCTTTATATTTGCCCTTTACATTTTGGTGAAGTTATTATATCCTATTTTTCATCAAAAAGTTTATATATGGTAGAATCCAGACAGACACCAATTATATGAAGCTGATTGAGAAGAGACAATGAAGACACTAAAGTAAGGAGAATGAGGTATTTTTGTTTATTAGTCTTGGCTTAATACATTCATTCTCAATGCCTCACTTCCTAGAAAAAAACAATTATAGGTGAACTCTGATCTATCGCTGATAATTACAATCCTTCTTAGAAAGTTAATTTAAATGCCCTTTTACTCATTTTTGACTGCAGCTGTGTAGCTATCTCATTTTCTGTGTAATACATGAATTCATTATTGTTCTAGATGTAATAACATGCCTGAATTTAAAAGTTGAATTACTTAACATATGCCTTCAGGTTTTCAAAGAATCTGTTGAAACAGTGTTTCTCAAGTTGAATGATTATTAATCCCCTTTTACATAAAAGATTATTTTAGATCCTTAGTATTAACTTACAATTTTTAAATATTGACAAAAATATTATAAACAACTTGTCCTTATAGTTTTTGTAAAATAGGATTATGAATTCAATAAATTATAAATTAAATGAAAGTCAAATTGCAACCCCGGTAGAGGATGGATGATCTTATTTGGTTGAAACTAAAACCACCTTTTAAAATTTCTATTGATTTCAACATGTATACTGTTTGATGGCACGGATTTCCTACTTCTTTTCTATATTTCAAATACTATGAAACTTTCAAATGGTACATGATAATTTAGCAAGAATGCTGTATTTCATATGAAATCAATTCCTTTCCTTTTCCATTAGTTTTACCCATTGGACATGTACTATCTGGTACTAATGCTTTTGTAGTAACAAAGAAATATTTGTGTGGTAGTATTTATTCTCAAGGGTTACACAGGTCATACAGAGTACTTTTCTATGAATTTTTTATATTTTCCCAAAATTGGGAAAAAAAATTTATTGAGTTTTAAGGATAACCCTCTATTTCCAGATTTTGTTGGAACCAAGTGTGAGACGCACTGTATTGGGATGATTGAGTGATGTGACACTCAAATAATGTTAAACTGTGATGTTTGTGCTTCTGCTGTTTCTAATATTTTCTTAATGTCTTTTTTAATTCTTTACTGCTTTCATGGTGGGTAGCGCCAGAGATGGTTGGTATATTATTTTTATAACAATTTTAAACAACTTACAAATTTTTAAAGCTGAAACCTTAAAATTTGCATGCTTTATTTAATAAAAATTCAAACAACAGCTTCATATGGGTATATCTCATAATTAGTTATGTTTAAAGAGGTTTCATAAACCGTATTTTAAGATTACTTTTCAATGACTTAGTCACTATTGCATTGTTCACTTTATTGTTTTTTCTTTCTTTTCTTTTCTTTTCTTTTCTTTTCTTTTCTTTTCTTTTCTTT